CTAAGGCACACCTGTGCACTAATCATGGTGTCTAATTAGCATCTTTATATGGCACACCTGGGAGGTGGGATGGATTATATCAGCAAAGGAGAAATGTTCACTATCACAGTTTTATACTGGTTTGTGAACAATATTTGGGGGAAATGCTGATATTCTTTATATGGAAAACCTGTGAGGTGGGATGGATTATATCAGCAAAGCAGAAGTGTTCACTATCACAGTTTTATACTGGTTTGTGAACAATATTTGGGGGAAATGCTGATATTCTTTATATGGAAAGATTTAGATCTTTGAGTTCATCTCATAAAAAAAAGGGGAATGAATCCAAAAGTATTTCGTTTATATTTTTGTTGAGTGTAAATGTTGAAATCTCTTTTTGAAATATACACTATAAACAACTATAATCATTTCTGGATGTATAATAGAATCATCAGACATGTGAAACTGATATGAATGAGTAGATTTATAATAAAATTATCTATGTCAAAAAGCTGATAAAAGATTACTATTTATTGATAATAAAGAAGTAAACTAAACCATTTCACCAACTAATAACGTTACATTGTGATATTTAGTTGTTTGATTGGAGCTTTCCTTTTTTCATACATGTTTGCTAATTCACTTATTAAAACAGACTTGAAAATCAGCTGAATTTGCTTTTGTTCTGTAGATTGCTTTGGAAAACTCAGACAAACTGATTCGTCGCAGGATAATTTCCCTGAGTGTGCGTAACAAGAGAATTTCAGGACTTCCTGACCAGGATCGGGTCAAAATCACCTTAAATATTGCCACAAAGATCAATGTAAATATAACTGTAGTTTTTAATCTCCTTAAAACAGTAAACTCTGAGGTTTTATGTTATCACAGACAGACATGATTAACTGATTAGATTGTAAAAGCTGGATTGTTGCTGTGTCCATAGGAAACTCTCAAGCCCCAGTGTGTTTTCCTAAACACCAGAACAAACCGTAAGTATCCAAAGTAACTCCTCTTTAGTGCTTAGTAACATGGAAGAGACCTAAAAACAAAAACAAGCTTCTCTGTCTCTGTCCCACCAGATTTCAGTACCAGTGGCTGTAAGACATATTGGGATGATGATGACGTCACCTGTTCCTGTAATCATCTCACATACTTTGGTGTGCTGATGGTAGGACCAGCTGTTGATTACAACAGAATAATGTTAAAACATTGAAGTCTGAAGTTGTGTGTGTAT